AGCCGTAGGGCCTGTTCCAGTTAGCAGCTCCAGTTCCTACTGTTGCCATCAGAAACAGGCCACTCAGCTGCTCACACAGGCCTGCCTTGCTTTCTCAGATTGCTTTCTTGTTAAAAAATTTCCATGTGGGGAGTTTCGGCAATCTGATTTTCAACTTACTTTTCAGCAATAAAGCCATATTTTCAGTCAACTACCCCCCAATGATGCCATTATATGCTGAGACAAGTTTGTGTTGTCTTGTACTACGAGACCGCAGGCCATGCAGACGGCTCATGAGCTTCCATGACAGGATTGGAGATGGTGACCCCCCCTACCCAGTCCCCTACCCTGTCCACAAGACCCCTACTCCATGTATCAGACAACCAAGCGGATGCCAAAGCTCTCTGCAGCACCAGTGGCCCAAGGATGTCCCGCTCCTGGGATGCGAGCGGGTTCCTCACACACAGGATTTTCTTCTGCCATTTCTTCTGTATTTTTACATGCATTTTACTGCTTGGGTGTCTCACTGCAGAGGCAGAAGATGACTGTTCAAGTCTCATTCTCCCATTTGCAATGCAATTTTTATTGCAATTTCTTTATTTTCATAGCTTTCATGATATAAATGTGACTGAGGAGTGTTGGACATGCTGATTTACACGCTGGCTCTTCACGCATCAGAGGAAGACAGCACATTTTATGTTTTGTACCGATTCTCATAGGGTTTGTTTTGGCTGAAAGCTAAATACGCAGACATGTAGGCTCATTTGGAGACCTAATACATCTTCCTTTCATGATTTCATGATGCCAGTAATCCCAATCTCCAAAGAAAAATAAACACAAGGAAGTTTTCTAACTTGCAAAGTTAAAACAATCTGTATTGTACAGAATCTACGCACTTTCTTTTCAGAATTGATTGCTTATGTTAAGATTTACAAATATCGTGGCAGCCGAGAGCTGTTACTGAAATATAACACAACTCATTTGCTAACAATAAATCCAAATTGTCACAATTTTTTTTTCTTCTTTAAATGCATGTAATATGGTTGAATACCGACAAAATGTCACTCCATGTATTTTTGGTTTTACAACACACACACACACACACACATTTTCCTAAGCGTGTGCTCAGGTGCCCTGATACGAAACGCAAACCACATGGAGCCACTGCCAGGGTTATCACCCTGCGCACGGGGACTCGTTGGTGGCAGCAGGTTCGCCCTCGCTTGCAGCCTCGTTATTAGATCAACTTGTTTTGTTCATGTGCATAATTTCAGCAGAGCAATATTTCTCCTGGGTTCAATGCCTTTAGTTTGAGTGGCATGAGAATAAGAAGAGTTTTGATGCAGTGGCATCCCCAGGGTAAAGCGTGAATGAGGCAGGTAGCACGTCCCCGAGTGTCACCCGGCTCACATGAGGCAGTCCCACAGAGCTTGACACATCTGGCACGTGCAGCTCCACAAGGACCGCAGCTGCCTTTAAAGATACGGATGGGAGCAACCTGAGACAGCCTCCAGGGCCCTCGTGGAGCACAGAGCTAGGCCACACTTTAAGGACACTTAAATACACCACAGCAAATAAGAATAAAGGGGTGGGGGAATAAAGAAAAATGCCACTCTCTGTCAGGGCCTACAGAATGGAAAATACTTGTTTCAGAACTCATTATAACCACCAGGATTTCCTCTCTGGAGACCTGAGTTCATATCACAACTGAAAAACAAGCTTTGTGGTTTTAAATTAGGCAGTTGTGCTCCTCCTCATCCCCAGACAGGGGATGGAGTTAACACCTGGCAAGGAGTGAAGAGAGCTGAACAATGAAGAACTTCCTCTTTTTATTAGAAAGCCCCAGAGACACCTGAATTGCTCCAAACCAGTTTTCTTTACCAGCCTTTAGGTGAGTTGCAAAATCCCTGTGCACTTTTACACATACGTTTTTAAGTTGATTCGACGTTGGGAGGGCGGAGGATTTCCCAGTGTTTCCATGCACACAGTGATCGGTACCCAGCGCAGTGACTGTACAACTTTCTGTATCAGTTCGCAGGAGAAAACCACCCAGAGGTGAGTGCTGGGCTATCTCAGCTGCAGCAATGCCTTGCCAGCTCTTCAGAGACACCCTCTCCCCCAGCTCCATGGAGCTTAGCGTGCTCCACATCTAGTTTATCCTATTGATTTTCCACTATCGCAAGCGTTAACTTCAGTTTAAGCAGCACACAGTTGCTATTAAATCAGACAGAGATCAAACCCGTGCGCTGTTCTTCAAGCGTGAGATGTTATTTGAGTCAAGTATTCAGATCTCAGCTAGATGTCTCTGCCCACAGTAGCAGAGGTCTTTCATAACCACATCCAAATACTTTCTGATATCCTATTTTCTCTATCATTTTCCAGATTTTTTTCAATTATTATGTTCTTTTTTAATTCCTCTAATCCTCTTTTCTGAAGACATAGGATTAAAAGGACTAAAAATAGCCTCTTAACTGCTACTTGTTTACATATTTATTTTTTAACACAGCAGCATCAAACAGAGGGTCCAGACAACCAGTATTTCACAAGCAAAATCCCATTCGCTTCTCGGGAAGCTTTGCCCCAAGGCCAGTTGCAGCCCCTCAGTTTGGGGACCGGAGCTTTGCATGGCTCCTCCTGCCCACCAAAAGGCGCCCAGGTCTGCCGGAGCAGCGCGGTGATGACTCCCTGCTGCAATGTGGTAGGTGGAGCTCACGCAGGGACCAGCCGGAGCTGTGGTAGCTCTGCTGACACGGTTCCTGCCGGCAGCGCGGGCCGCTGCTCGCAACGCGGCGCCGGCAGGAGCGCAGCCAGCGCTCCCTCCGCAGGAGCCTGGGGAGCTCCTCAGCACGGCCAGGACCAAAGGGCAATCTGGGCAGCTAAATCCATTGGGCTGATACATTTCACGCGCTTGGAGGCAACTCCTGTCTACTCTGATCACCTGTTAAGCTCCCTCCGAACAGGGAATTCAGTGGCCCGGAGCAACCGCCCTTCGCCCCGGCGTCAACAGGCTGCCTGAGCAGCCCGGCGGGCACCGCTCACCCACAAGGCTCCTGAATGAAGCGGCACGGGTGGAAGGAGAGCTCCACAATCCCAATTTGGGGTCAACAGATCCCAATATTCCAACGCTGCCCCAGGATAGTCTGACCGCAAAACGCAAAGCCCGGGGTTTGCTCCAAACCAGATGCCTGCCATCCATTCGGCATCACACCCCAGCATGTGCAGCACAAAGCACGGAATCCCACAAGTATCTTAGTACGTATTCCGATTATCAGACTAGCCGTCCCTTCCATCCCAGCCCTGCTCTCTGGGCCTGGGGAACACGTCCTCCCAGCCCAGCCCCAGGCGCGCCGGATGTGGCCCCCGGCTGCGCGGCGGCCGCGGGGCTTCGGCAGCCCTTACACAACAGCCTCACAGCTCGTTCATTAAAGGTCCATTCCTATTCAGAACAAGGTTAACACCTAGTGCCAAAATTCATCAAAACCGCACGTACCTGAGCAGGCACTTACCACCTGTTTGACTTAAAACTCTAGTATGAGAAAGACACATTACAAGTCACTACAACACTCGCACATACATGCACCCACACCGCCTTATCAGCATCCTGCTTTTATCAATTTATTCTCACACAGCACTTTCCTTTTTCCACTCATATTCTTCATATTTGCTGGAAGCACAACACCCAGATAGGCAACGTAAAATGCACTTGCCGTACAAAAGTCAACAGTCTCCTAAGAGAGCGGCTTGGCAAAACTACTTTGTTTAAAAACTCAGGTTTCAAGATAAGTCTTTCCAAGAGCATTAGAGAACACCACCACCACGATTAAAAAGTACTTGAGGTGTTTGCACTTCTCCTGCGCAACACATCACTTAACCTTTAATAGACAGGGGCTTTTAGTAGGAAATTATAAAAGCAGAAGTGGTAAAATCTCCTCTTTTTATCAAGTTTAATGGATGAGACAGATTCTTTAGGCACAGCTCCCAGAAAGGAAGAGCCAGATCACCCTCTGGCTCCATCACGGAGCAACGACAGCTCACGGCAACGAGCGTCCAAGCAGCACTCTGAGACCGAATGCCGGTCTCGCTCCATAAAATCTCCATTACGGCTACAAATCCTCATCTGCACGCTTCCTCCTTCCTTACACATAAATACACTCTCTGACACTTACACAAAGGAGGATAAATTATTTTATGCATTTTTATGCATTTTTCAATGCTTCCCTGTTATGCCTGCTACCAAGGAACACCAAGAGTATCTTAAATATCTTACTGTCTATTGTTAGCACTATAGAATATACATAATATATCATTTTATTTTAGTTTTCACACATGCTAAGGTTTCCAGTATGATAAATGTCTTTTCAAATCTGGTATTTTTTTGTCACACAGTAGATCCACCTCTATTTGACAGTGACTCCAGGACATACACGTCAAGACAAAAATAAATACTGCTGTGATGGCAAATGTTTCAGAACTCTTAGGACACTGTTACAGTGGCACTTCAAAAACTCCTTAAATACAACAAAAAGAGACAACAGTTAAATAGAAATTTGCTTTGATATAGCCAGAAAACCTGCACTACATTTAGGAGATCTGTGCTTGTTCGTGCAAGAGCAGCCTCTCATCTTCGACCATGTCAAACGCTGCACTCCAGCCCTCCACCCGCACGCTTAGAAGAGCCCTTCCTGCTATTTTAAGCAAGCATTCCTGTAAGCTCTACATAAGCAATGCTGTAATTCCCAAACAATTGAGGTAATTATAAAAATGAATATCATTTATTGTTTTGTTTATTACTATCATGTCTGAACAATTACTTTCATACAAAAGTCTGATTTTCAGCATTATGCCTTGCAAGGGCATCCCCTCCACACCATGGGAGACAGATGTATTAGGAATTGTGCAAGAGTTTTGCTACCAGCCTCAAAGCAACAGCAACTCCGTAAACAAGATCTTGGTACAGCATCACGCCTGGCATTTTGAGAAGGGGAAAGGGGTTTTACATGTATGTTCAGTTCTGCTTTATTTTTTTAATTGTATATAACACCAAAAAAAAAAAAAAAAAAGAAAAGAAGGAGAAAAAGAAATAAATCATCGCATTACTGTATGTTACCCTTCAGCAGTTCTTTGGAGGAAATCAGAAACCAGGCTGCTTTTCCCGGCTCCCTCCCTCCCTCAAGCCAGGAGGGCCGGGCTCGCGCACCCGTCACAGCCGCGGCTTCCTGAGCAACGTTCTGCTGAGGTCCTTCACCTCCTCGGGGCTGCCGGCCCGCTCGTAGCCCAGCAGGGCCATGGGCTGCTGGCAGTACTCCTCCACCTGCTTGATCTGCGGGAAGCTGAGCGCGGTCCTCCAGGCGCTCAGCGCCTGCGTGGCGTTCCTGGCCGACACCACGAAGGGCTTGGAGGAGTAGCCCGGCCCGCTGGTCATGTTGAGGGCGAACTTCTCCATCTCCGGGCTGACCGTCAGGTTGACGAAGCCGTAGACCTGTCGCAGGGTCTTGATGGGCTCCACCACCAGGTCCTCGTAGCGCACGGCCAGGTAGTTGCCCCGGAGCCAGTCGGGGGGGTGCAGGGCGGTCTGCAGGGTCTTGGCCATGCTGCTGCAGATGCCCTCCCT